GTATTCAATTGAGATTTTAAAAAGTCTTTCTAAATCTAATGATATTGAAAAATTGATAGATTTTCAAGGATTCTTATAAAGAATGGATTTTGGTGGATTCTTAGCCTAAAGTATAAATAAAAAAGATTTTTGCAAATCCAAAGGAAGGGCCAGGGATTTTGTGGAATCCAAAAGCCTCTTTCACTTCATCTTCTCGGTCTCCTCTTACAGTTCATCTCTTCTTCCACAAATCTTCTCCATCGATCTCCTCTTCCGTCGCGGCGCAGGTTTTTCTCTTCCAACCTCCTTCCATCGTTCTCAAGCCTTCAGAGTAAGATCTTCTCTATCCCAATTAACTATAATAAATTTCTTTTTTATTATGAATATTTTTTTGTATGAAAATGGTCCTCGGGCTTGAGAAATCCAGTGTATATTAGAATTCCAGTATATATTATGGTCCTCTGTTTATGCTTCCAAGTTATAGGCTTGTTTTCTTCCCTTCAATCTGTTTTTTTCTTTATTTTTTTATTTAAAAAATCAATTGGTCACTCGTATTGCGTTCCGTTTTTTTAAAAATATTTTCATGGAATGTTTGAGCATTTTTGTTCTCTATCACTCTGTATTTTTTTTTGTACTCAAACCCTAGAATTACTTATTGAACCCAATAAGAGAAAAGCAATTGCCGATCCTCCATTGACACTCGTGTTGCACTCAGGTTTTACTACACGAGTGGGGCAACTTATTTTATGTATTCAATTGTTTAAACTTACTACTAGTAGCTGCAGAGAAAGCCATTTGATTATAATATGGAGTACTCCGTAATTAATAAGAAGCTTATATATATATAATAATAAGAGCTTAGCTTATAATATAAGGGCTTTCATTTCAGCAATAACTGGGAAGTATTACCTAATTTTGGAAATCAAGTGTTCCTGGCAGGAATAAATAGATGAGAGTTGGGAGTTTGTATAAACAAGTGTTTCTGGCACGAAAACCAGCATTTTTGCTCTCTTCTTTTTTTTCATATCTGGTACAATTTATTTTATGAGGGCTAATGAGGAAAATTATTAGTGTGTGAAAATATGGAGACAAAAACAGTGGATACTCTTTGTTTCCTATCTGGTACTAATTTTTATGCATTTTTATATATACTCCTTTCTTTTTTACTTTCGTAGCAATATCACAATGAGTGATCAACAACAAGATACCAAAAAAAAGGAGGATATGAGCAATGGACAACCAAAGAAAGTGATGTATTGTTAGAGCTCATGGTAGATGCAACTGCTCGAGGATGGCGTGATAATAGTGGTATTTTTTCTAAGCAAACAGTGGAAGAGAGGATACTTCCTGAGCTTAATAAAAGGCTTGGGTGTCACAAGAACTATCTTAATTACCAAAGCCGATTGAAATGGTTTAAAAATAAATGGAACGCTTATTCAGAGCTTATGCGTTTTAGCTCTGGTTTTGGATTTGACTCTACTACAAAGATGTTTACTGCCACTGATGAAGTATGGACAGATTACTTCAAGGTAAGTACATTATATGAAAAATTATTGGAATAAATAAATTTTTTGAAAGATGTAATGCAATAATAAATTTGTTTTTATGTTGTTTTATAGGCCCATCCAAAGCATAGCAACAAGTTACGTTATGAAAAATTTCAGGATTATGAGAACTTGGAAATCGCAATTGGTAACGGTGTAGCTGTTGGAAAAAACTCAATTGGGTTAGGTAGT